TACTAGAGATAAAGCGATACGAGCCTAACGATTGATATATATTACTTATTAAGTACGTTTATAACTAGCGTAAACTTCTCTTCCTCGGAAAGCGGGCTCTTACGCTTCTTACGCTTGTTATTATCTTGCTTCTTCGATCTACTAGTAGCTACCTTGCCCTTCGGACCCTTTGTAGCACTAGCGGCCTTGCCCTTCTTACTATAAGCTAGCTATTCCGTATTAGACTCTTCTTCCGACTCTTCCTCTTCCTATTTACGATTATAGGTAGGGTTATAATCTAGTCTATATAGCGCGCGCTCTTCGATAAGAATGTCGTTAGGTACTATATCGCTACCTCCCTTACGATCGGACTCCTCGTCGCTCTCTAAGGCATCCTCGATAGTCGGCTCGGCATACCGCTAGACAATAGGCGCATTACGTAGGCGGAGGCTACGCTTGTTACGGCCTGCCTAAGCAAGGGCATCTTCCGCTACCTTCTATCTCGCGCGCTAGTTACGGCGGAGCTTGTTCCTACGTACTATAATAGCGACTTAGTATGCTAGAAGAGCCTCGAATAGATTACTAGCTAGGGTATCGAGGCCTAATATTAGATGCTCGCCTAGTAGATCTGTATCTATTAGGTCTGCTATAGTAAATCGATAGTCTTCGGTATTAGTTATTATAAGAGACGAGACAGTCGAGGTAGACGGGTCGGGTATTCGTACGTCTATTTGTCGATAAAGAGGTAGAGGTTAAGTTAAAATACGAGAGACGCTTCTTCGGTAGGTTAGCAAGTAGCAGAGGTTAGTGCTTTATCGAATAGACCTACTTTAATAAAGTCGCGAAAAATACGGAAGATTTACTATCTTAAAGGCATTAACAACAGCGATTTACTTATTACTAACATAGTAAGATAGTCTAATCTTTAACTATACGACGCGACTAAGACGCGACAAGACGGACACCTATATATAGTTAAAGATTAGTCGGCTCCGAGACCTATAGTCGCGTCTAATACTATACGACGGTAGTATATCGCGAATATACGAAACCGACATTAATAGATAGCGTAGCGTCTCTAGAGCGAGACGATACACGTATAGGAATATGTGCGTTGTTAGCGCTACACAATATAGATCTCTATACACACTATGCCCTTACTAAAAAGCCGGATTTAGGCTTTTAGAGTAGCTTCGGCGCATTTAATGTATCTTAATACTATAACCTTAGACACTTCCGTGCCTTATATAAAACTAACTTAGGAATAGACGCTCTACCCGATAATGTATGTTTTATATTAGTGTTATAAAAAGCGACATACGACCTGTAAAGCTAGCTTCGAGTATCTAGTAGAAGAAGGTTATATTACTATAGCGCATCGAAATACGACAAATATGCCTATATTAACTCTGCTTAGAATTGCTCGCGCTACAAGCTTATATAGATATTATCGTTAAGCGACAAAAAGCGACATACGGCATATTATAGGCTTAGGTCTTAGCGGCTAGCTATATACGACTCGTCTCGGCGCGATCGTTATAATATAATAACGCTATATTCTATATACTTTGTTAAAATTAGAAATGCCTTCCGATACTATTCTATTTATAATCTAGCAATAAAATTGATATATTTCGCGTTGCGCTATATACCTCTATTTTACGAATAGTTAGATCCGTACTTTTCGACAATTTAGCTTTAGACCCTCGCTTCGCTCGGGGCAGCAAGCCGCTAATAATAGAAGCAGGGTCTAAATAGAGACTAACTAGGCCTATGTAGGTAAACGTCGCGTATATAGAGAGTAGGCGAGCTAGTAGACGGAGTCTCTACTAGAAGTTATAAGATATTCGCTGCTTAAGAACTTAATAAGTTAATTAAAGAGAAATAAAGGAAAGGAAACCTTTACTGCGATAGAAGCTCCGGCCTTAGCACGCCCGACGCCCGACGCCCGACGTTAGCGAGCGAGCTAGCTTCTAATCCATATCCCTAGTAATATAGTCTACTAGCCTGTAAATAGTGTATACAACATGTAATACACTATATATACAGGGGTGGGAAATTTAGCTAGTATATATACCTAACTAGCCTATTATTAGTAGTTATCGGTACTAATAGGGGTTAGAGCCGTCGCTAGCTGCGGCAATAGCTGCTTAGCTAATAAGTTAGCTTTAGTCGATTTAGTCGACTAGACCTCTAGCCCTTAGAAGTATTACATTCTTATCGCTAGAATTCGTGTCTTTTCGCGTTAGGTCCGCGTTTGTATATAGAATCGCGTATAGGATACGATAGGTTATAATAAAAGGGAACATTTAGTATATAGCTAGAATACTATAGCTAGAGAGGAAAATTTTCCTCGTATCTCGAGCGAAACCTAAATAGTATAGAGGCCTTATTTGAAGGGGATATAATAGACTATTTTGCAGTAGAATTTAACTTATTGTCCCTATTAATCGATCCTATCTTGCCTATTAGATTCTATCTCTTTTACTAAGCTAAATAACTAACTAAGCTACTATATCCGACAACTTATCTTCTAGCTAACAACGCCTCTTGCTAGGTGCCTCGGTGCTAGTGCTATTACTAACACTCGGTAAGCGCAAACGAGCGGAGGATCTATACTAGTTGCTAGTAACTCGCACCTATTTAGAAGGCAAGAACTACCTACGAGTTAAGTGTAACTTTTGCGGTAATCTCTAGGTTTCTAATGCTAAAGGAAGGGTTATTAGTTATCTGTCTGTATGCCGTATTCTCCCTAAGGAGCACTAGTAGGAGTATTAGCCTAAGAAGGTAGCTATTAATAAGGATATTAGTACTAAGTTTAAGGCGCCTATTCCTCGAGCTAAGAAGGAACAGACGATTCTAATCGGCGGTAACAGCTTTATTAACTATATGTCTCCTAAAGAGCACGAGGTTGCTTATAAGAGGCTAGTTAAATAGATACTATCGTCTAGTAAGGAGTTATCGTTAACTAAGAGTATTTAGTTTAAATTATAGCTAAAGGCTCTTCGACCGGCCTTTACGCCTCCTTCTCGCTAGTAAATCCGCTATAAGTACCTACCTCGTATTTATAAGAGGCTATAGGCGGAGATAAATGCTAAGATAGCTAAGAGCTCTCGCATTACATATACGACTAATAGTTAGAAAAACACCTAAGGCAGGTCGAATACTAACTATCTCGCGATTACGCTAAGGGCGGCCTTCTTCGTCGGTTATAAGCTCGCTAGTGCTAATCGTAGTACGGCGGTTAACTATACTAAAGGTCTCGAGCGGTCTATAGCGCAATAGGGCGATAAGATTATCGCTTTAGTTGCTAACAATACGAATGTTATAGCAGTAGCCTCGAGGTTAGTATATTTAAAATCCGAGAAGGGCAATCGCAGCGGCGCTACTTATATACAGTCCGCGAGCGGTCCGATTATTAGAGCTTATCTATTAGCTAACAAATTTTTAAGGTTACGGAGAAGAGACCCTACCTCGTTACCTTAGGTTGCTATTCCTATACTACTAAATTGCTTATAAACGATATATATAATTACGATACCGTCGACAGCTTCTATACTAAGATTCTAGCGGTCTTAAACTACTTCCGGAACACCTATCTTCTATTTAAGCTTTTGCTATAGCTTAGTAATAGCAAGGTGCGGCGATTTTAGAGCCCCGGAAACACTAGATAGCAAGGCAAGCTATATTACGCTAGAGCGGTCTTCGAGAACCGGTTCTAGATACAAGAACTTCGTATCTAAGAACACCTTCTTCTAGAGGGTAGTAGCGCTAAGCAGCGCGGTGCTTAGGACTACGTCTGCTATCTTATTAAGAACAATAGCTTCTAGAAGCGCTTAGACGAGTATATCAAACTAATAGAGCTATTCCTTAAAGTTACTATTGCGCTCGAGACCGACAAACCTTCGCTTTCGTACGTATATTCTAACTATAGGTAGCTTTAGAACTAGTCCTTTATTAACGACTTTATTCTAATAAATACTATTACCGAAATAATTAGCATTCGATACGACGAGCTATACTACTACCTTATGCTCGTAGTATACCTCGCAGACGCTAAAGAGCGATAGCAACCTAATAAATAAGCTATCCTCGTTAGTAACGATAAGCTCTACGAACTCGCCGAATATCTTAAAGAATAGTGCACTTTACAAAGCCGTAATAGCAAGCGACCTAGCTTCGAGCACGTACCTAAGTCTACTGCCGAGATTAAAGATAGAGCGGCGCTATTACTCGCTAACCTATATACTCTTCGTAACCGTAGCGGCCTATTTAGCAACAATATCGTATAGCACGCGGCAAAGAACATAAGTCCGCTGCAATAGTAGCATAACCTTATAAGAGACGACTATCCGGAGCTCTTAGAACTATATATACTAGTACTATTAATCTGTCTAACAACTAGCGCTACTAAGCGCAACTAGTTAGCTTATAGCTTTATCTATAACCTCCGCTACAACCGCCTTACTTACGAGTATATAGAGATGTTAGTCTATTACTATTAGAATCTACGTATCAAGTATAAACTTAATGCTAGTACTAAAGACAACGACGACGACTTCTACGATATACTATAAGACCTATTATAAGAGGCTTTTACTCCTATAATAGCCGCTATAGCACAGGCTTTATAAGACAACGTAGGGTTTGACACTGCCTTACAAGAGCTATTGTATTCTCTAGGACTAGACGATAATGTATTAATTTAGTAAGTAGAAGAGTCGGCTATTCGAGAACTAGTACGAGGTACGTAGGTCGAAGGAATCGAGAATATCTAATCCTATAGTATAGGCAGCAGTCGTATCTACATCTTTCCTTATTGGTATTTGCACCCCTACGCTATGCCTATTCAGTTATATGGCCCTATATATCCATGGGTGTACACCAGTATAATATACAGTGTACACAACCTCCATTTCTCAGGGGCTGTAAACCCACAACACTACATGTCCCAGACACGCAAGCTCCATACTACACCATAAAACTCCACCTCCTAAACACACCCTCTCCACACCTCCACAATGTCCTCCGCCAAACGCATCGAACAATGGGAAATCGACCGGTACTGGGAGATCTTCGCCTCCCTCTCGAACAACTCTACCCACCTCGATGGCTCGCAAGCCGCCTCAGTGCTAAAAAACTCCCAACTGCGCGACGACCAACTCGAAAGAATCTGGGACCTGGCCGACGTCGACGGCGACGGCCGCCTCGACTTCGAAGAATTCTGCGTCGCGATGCGTCTAATCTACGACCTCATGAACCGCGAATACCTCGACGTGCCCAAAACGCTCCCGGACTGGCTCGTCCCCGAATCCAAAGCCCATCTCGTACAAGCAACACGCGCAGTCGCAGGCGGAGGAGAAAGATGGGAACGACCGGACTACGACGAAGATGAAGGGCAAGAAGGTCTGAAGGATGGTTTCGATTGGTACATGTCCCCCTCGGATAGAAAAAAATTCGAAGACATCTACACCTCATCCCGCGATTCTCGCTCCGGCCTTATAAGATTCTCCGACTTATCCGACCTCTACGAAAGCCTCGACGTACCCGACACCGACGTGCGCTCCGCCTGGAATCTCGTCAACCCAAAAAGCGAAGAAGGGATAAACAAAGACGCCTGTCTCGCCTTCCTCCACATTCTAAACAACCGACACGAAGGATATCGCATCCCGAGATCCGTGCCGCCGAGTTTGAGGGCGACGTTTGAGCAAGGGAAGATAGAATTTAATCTTGACAGGGTGTCGCAACGACAGGCGGCGGCGGAGCGGTGGGGGACGAATTCTCGAGGGGATGAGAATACGGTGACGGGGAAGAAGGCCAAGTTTGGGGATACGTATCTTTCGAGATTGGGGGTTGGTGGGGAGAGGAAGGTGAAGGGGACGGATTTTAGTGCGACGCCTAGGGATGGGGAGTGGGAGGAGGTGAGGTTGAAGAAGCAGTTGAAGGATTTGGAGGAGAAGATAGGGAGGGTGGAGGAGCAGGCGAAGAGGAGACGGGAGAGGGGTGGGAGGCGGGAGGATAGTAAGCCGGCGCTTGTGAAGAGGGAATTGGAGATGTTGTTGGATTATAAGAGGAGGGAATTGAGGGATTTGGAGAATGGGGAGGGGAAGGCGAAGACGGGGCAGAGTTTGAAGCAGTATAGTGATGAGATTGGGATGGTGAAGGAGCAGGTTGATGGGTTGGAGGCACATTTGCGGAAGAGGGAGGCTGCGCTTCAAGAGCTGCGGGATCAGATTGAGGCGGAGAAGGTTGGTGGGAGGTAGTATTGATTGACATTTGCGGGTTCGTGGAGAGTGTTGATACTGTGCATAATGCGCGCCACACGTTAGTCGAGAGTTGGTACGATACGATACCCTTAGGTGGAGCAATCAATCAATATAAGCTGTAATTCAACTTTCTCGATTCAGATAGGCCTACGTATGGTATAGAACAAAGACTACCACGTTTGATCTTGATCTTCATAATGTCCATTCCAATTCAATCTCAGCAGTAACGTCCTCAAGACCTCAGCATCTTCTGCTTCCGCCGCAGCCAGTGACTTGGGAGGTTTGTCAGCAGTCTGCTTAAGCAGATCTACGAAAGCTTTGACCGAGTCATGGAAGTCTTGAGCGAGAGCTCCGAAGTTGTGCGTCGTGACAGCATATGCAGCTTTGAGCAAAGCAGCGAATACCGTCTCGACAGAATTCCGCAGCTTCTCATGTTTGCGCTTGAGGAAGAGTCTGCTTCGGATGCGATCTAAACATGCCTCGTGGATGTGTTGGAGACCTTCGATGCCGAGGTGGGCGCGGGTGCCGATTTCGTTTTTTGTATCTTCTTCTTCGAGTTTTCGTTCGAGGTTGAGGATTGATTGTATGAGTTCTTGCCAGGGAGGTGCGATACCGAGGTCCATGATGTGGGAAACGAGGATGCTGACGAAGAGTTGAGATTCTTGGGCGAAGGTTGAAGCTATGGCGGATGGTCGGGTCTTGAGCACTTGCTTTGATAGCTCGCCGGTGGCGTGGACTAGTCTCAGGAGTTTGAGCAGGAAGCGGAAAATCTCGTCGTAGTTGTTGAGAGCGTTAGATGTCAGCACCGCATCTAATGGGGCAGTGACATTGTACTGCAGCCTTAAGAAATCCAAGGCATAGATGGAGTGTGGGTCCAGTACTCTATCGATCTCAACTTCTGGCAACTCACGTATCGCAAAGCTCAAGTTTTCTGATATCGAGGCGTCGCCGGCAGAGTCGTCAAGAATACCCATCAACGAAAGTTGCAGCTCAGAACTAGCAGGTGGCCAGCGCTCATCATGCGACGCTCCCAGACGCAGGCCGACGGTCTCTGCTGTTGGGACTGTGCCACGCCTTCGCTCAGCAGATTGCACATCCTCGCTGAATAGTGCTGCACACATTCTTGATACGAAGTTGCCATTGCCGAACATCTGGAAGGACCTCTGAGTAGCGAGGTGATGCCTCAATCGGTGCTCACGCAAGAGTTGTCGCAGGATAACGCCATTGACCAATTTGTTCTGGGTTGCAATCAAAGGCCTGAGATGTGCAATGAGTGACAGGTCAAGAACACGCTTGTTCAGGTCGGGAGTCACATCATTGTCGCTCTCGTGGTGATTCAGAGCTGCCACTGCTGTGTGGTGCAGCGAATGTCCGATATTCTCGACGTGCGAAGTGGGCAGTTGCGACATCAGAGTGTCCAAGTCGGTAAGGTACAGATCATGAGCATCAGAGTCCTGCCACAATGTATCTACCACAATTGACGCCCTGATGTCTGCAGTAGTCGGCTCAGCGTTCGGTCTCCCTTTCACGAGTAAAGAAATCATGTCCTCTTGATAACTTCGCGCAGTTTCTGCTATGCTCGACGAATCCAATGCACTGTCGGTGAAGCATGCGACGGGCGATAGGCTTGCGAGTTGAACTGTTCGTACTCCTGTGAGAGCATGGTTGGAATCAATTTGCCGCAGAAGGGAGACTGCAGAGGTCGTTTCGTAGAGCAGATTACGATCCTCAGCACTGACAAACGCCGTGCTGGATTGGATACTGGACTTGAAGTCTTGTGCGGCATCATCATCTGAAACTCCTGCGACTGGATCCGCAAATCCCAGATTGCCCGCCAATGTCTCGAGCCAAGGCACGCTCACTCGAGCCAGCAGGATCTGAAGCACATCCGCGAATACCTGATCTCTCTGCACTTCCTCGTGAATGCTATCGGCGAGGCGAGAAATAACGCTTTCATCAGATTGACAACGCTTGACCGATTCGACAAGCAGAGTCATGATTGCCAAAAGTTGAGCAGGCCTTGCAACAAGTCCTTGCAATTGCAGCATAGATCTTACAATGGAAACTCTTGCAGAAACACTCTCGTCAATGGCGTCTAGAAGATCGCCGATGCAACTTTTGAGTGCAAAGACCGCCGGACATGAGTGACGCACACCACGTGTGGTATCGGAAAAGATCCTAAGTCGCTTGATCTGGTTGCCAATCGTGAGCAGGCTTGCGGTGAAACTTTCTGAAGACCGCAAGCTGGTGCCAGAGATGGCGGCACCTTGCAATGTCTGGTGGAAGGTCTGCTCGGATTCCTTCCACGAGAACAGACTTGAAGACCGTCCTAGAGCGAGTGCACTGAGGCAGCGAAGCGTGTAGTCTTGGGGCAAGACACCAATGCTTTTTTCTATCGTAGCAATAGCAGCATCGAAAGCATCAGGTCCTGCTTCTGATAGGTACGCAGTCGCCTGACTATTTGCAACATCCTTGCCTTCAAAAGCTTCCCAGGTATGGAATCTACCAGAATCTTCATTGACCTCCAGATGCAGATCGACAGCCCAGATGTCATGTTCTTCCGGCACATTATCATCGCTTGAAGGGCCGAGGATTCCATTTTCGACTTGATTCTCGACTCGCTCAGCATTGGGACTCAAGTCTGCATCATCTCCGTCAAGGTCCGGGATGCCCAATTCAAGACTGAGGTCAGGGAGCTCATGTTGTTTTTGGATTTCTAAAGGTTGGATCCTGTCGTCCCAGGCGTCAAGAATACTTTCATCTTTGTGGAATGTGCGGAAGAACGACGGCTTCTGCCAAAATGTTTCGATCTCGAACGGCAAGCCACGTGATACTGGATCGTCGGTCATCGTGCTGCATGTTGAAGAACTTGTTGGGGAGGGTTTTCTGGAAAAGTAAAGATGGAGATGGAGATGGGGATGGAAGGTGGAGTGGGATGTTGGCACCGCGTCTGTTTCGCGTTTTTGCCAAGACTTTCCCTGAAACTCTAATTTTGGGCCCGCTGTGCTGTGAGAGTATCATCTGGGAGGACTTGATTGTGCATAGTTATTGCTACATATGTTCCGCTGCTTCCACCTGAGAGCGGCATTGCAATATGCGCTGGTATGCTCGGGGAGCCATTGTCTACCTTCGATTGGCATTGCTCAGAGATGAAAACACAGCTGCAACTGCTCCATAGCAATGCTTTTCAGTGAGAGCTTTGTATTCACCAGAACTGCCCTTAGACCATAATCGCTCTCCGCTTACAAAATCAGACCAGCTGCCAACATGCCGAGACCCACAACACTGCCCATCGCCGTAGCCATCGCAGCACCTGCGCTCGAGGTAGCAGAAGCAGAAGCCTTAGTTGCCGAGGCAGAAGCAGAGGCAGAAGCAGAAGCGTTTGGTGAGCTCGAAGATGCGGAGCTGTGGGTGGACGCTGATGTCCATGTAGCAGTGAAGCCGGTGGCATTTGTGCAAGAGGAACCAGCGGTGGCGTTGCTTCCAGTCACGAATTTGACAGGAGCGCACTGTACAGCATCATGAGCAAAATGCGTCACAAGTATGCTGAGATTCTTACCTGATAGAGAGTGCCATCCACAGACGAGTCGATGACCTGAATGATACCTCCCTTACCAGCGAAGGACGCAGGAGCTCGAAGATCCGTCAAGCAGAACTTGCCAATGCCAGTGCTGTTCACGACTGGCACAATCTCGGTGAAGTTGTATGGCTCCTTGGTGTCGGTGGTGGCGAGGAAGGACCAGGAGCCGGCGGGATGCGAGCTGAAGATGGAAACTGCGAACCGGTCGACCTGAACTTGGGGGGCGGTGTCGTTCACGACGACAGTGGCGCCGCCGCACGGTGCTGTTGGCTCGTCGTCGTCGATGAAGCCTGCGGTTGGTGGCCAGTCGAGGGTGAAGTGAGCGGATGCCAGGCTGGCAGCGATGAGAGCGGTGCAGAATGAGCGGAGCATTGTCGCGAGTATTTGTGGGAATGGTGCTAGGAGAAGCGATGTGTATGAAGAAGTGAAGTGCGATGCAGAAGAGAAACACAGTTGGAGGCCCCCGATGGGTCTATTGATCAGGGCAGAACCTACATATCTTGCTAAATAAAGCAAATCCCACGTGCGGTCTCGCCACGGATGCTGTCCGACGGCAAGGGCGGATAGGGAAGTCACGGTAATAGCACACGTCCTGCCACAGTGATTGGGTGTCCACGTCTCAGGATCTGGCAGCATTCCAGGTCTGGCCTGTTCATGCATGCAGTTGGACTAGCGTCATTTTACTTGCTCAATGCCGGCGGCGCCAAGAGCATATTTGCTCACTTCATCCCGCACCCCGCACCCCGATCCTCGAACACCATCCACCACGACTTGTTGCCGACGCTGACGTGGGACTGGCAGGGGAAATAAATCACCGCCGAGTCGACAGAGAGAAGATCACCGGTGCATTGCAAACAACATCTGGGCTCGGGGAGGCGAAGTTGACTCTGAGATTGGGGTTCATGGGAAGGCCTGTCAACCAACAGGGCACATCTTGCCAGGCCAGCAGCGACGTGACGACGGCGAACGAGGGCATCTTGACTGAACAAACTTCCGATTCAACTTCCGAACGCCGAACATCGACTTCATCTCTTTCCCAAGCGAATCCGAACACGGCTGGGCGAACAGCTGTTGAAGAAGGTATCAGCCTGGACTGCAGCAGCTAGACGCCCTTGACCGCATCGCATGTTGCCGTCCTGACCGCAGCGACTCACGTGGCAGAGGCCTCTGGCCCGCGTCGTTGCAGTGCTCATCTCCAAAGACAACGCAAGGACTGTCTTCTTCGCCGCTCAAGATGGACATGAGCGGCATGGACCACGACATGAGCGGCATGACAATGAGCGGCGGCATCTTCACGCCCGCCGACGAGTCCTATGCTTATGGCTTCTGGTACGGCATAGCCGGATGCGTCGGACTCCTCACAGTCATCAGAGCCGCCTCAATACTACAGATCAGACAGCGACTAAAAGCGCATCAACGCACTCCACGAAGCATCCCCTCACGACCAACCGGCTGCATCGCCCAAGCCTACGCAACAGCACAAGCAACGACCCGAGAAATGCTGTACCCACAACCCTACTACTTCACCGGTCGAATCACGAAATACTTCACTCCCTTACCTGTAGGCCGATGGCTCCTTCTAGCCTTCTACTGGATCATAATCCTATCCTTCCTGTGGACCGGGACCATTCTGAAATCTAAAGATCCCATGTACGCATACAAATGGGAAAAAGTCGGATTCCGAGCCGCTTGGGTTACTGTCACCCAAATACCTCTAATCTACTTGCTGTCGTGCAAGTTCAACCCCATCAGTATCTTGACGGGTATCTCGTACGAACGTTTCAACTGGGTACACCGTTGGGCGGCGCGGACCGTGTTCCTGACCGCGATTGTGCACTGGTCTTTCTTCTATACCGAATGGTCCTTGGCAGACATTGTCAAAATGGAGATCGAGATGATGCCGATGGTTAAATATGGGTTCGGGGCTTGGGGGGTTGTTACCTGGACGGTGATTTCTGGGTTCGGACTTTTCAGGAATTTGAACTATGAGCTGTTTGTGATACAGCATATTGCGGCTGCGGGTGTTCTGCTGTGGCTGCTTTTTGTGCATGTGCCATCGTATGCGAGGTACAACATCTGGTTGTCAATCGCATTTGTGGCGTTCGATTGGGGTATGCGAATTATCTGGGGTGTGCTGAGGAATTTTCACTTGTTGGGCGGGAAGAGCCCATTCGAGGCGGGATACACGACACATCTTGAGACGCTACCAGGTGATGTGGTACGACTGACGATCGAAAATGCCGACTTTAAGTGGCAGGCGGGACAGCATGCATATGTCATGATGCCTGGCTTGCGACCTTTCGAACTTCATCCTTTCACCATCGCCAATGCTCCAAGAAGTGGTCGCGACCAAAATGAAAGAAAGCTGAGCATGCTCATACAAGCTCGCTCTGGCTTCTCAAAAAGCTTGCACAAGGCTGCCCAGAAGACTCCCGGCAGTCACTGGCGCTATCGAACATTTCTAAGCGGACCTTGGGGCTCGCCACCAGATCTCTCGCATCATGAAACTGTAGTCTTGATCGCCTGCTCCTCAGGCGCATCCTTCATCGTCCCGCTTCTGCAGGATCTTGTGAGAAAACAAGGCTGCGTCCGAAACATTTCCTTGCACTGGATGATCAAGGCCGAGGAGCATTACCAGTGGTTTGCCGAAGAGCTTCGAGCACTTATCGAGCAATCGCAGGGCCTCGCTCTCAATTTGCAGATCTGTGTGCATGTCACCAGATCCCAGCCGCTAGGACCTCCCGACGCGGCCGAGGAGGTCAGGACGAATTCCATCTCCGTATCACCTGGCTCCTCGGCATCGAGCAGCACGGGTGCGAGTGCGCATTCGATCGAGAACGACAAAACTCCGCTCCACCTCGCAAAAGGGAGACAATCCTCTGCGCTGGTCATGAAGCATGGCGGCAGGCCAACCTTGGATTCGATGATCCGAGCACCAGTAGAACAGGCTCTCGGCGAGACTGCCGTGATCGTTTGCGGTGGTTTGGCCATCACTGCCCAGACTCGTACATATGTTGCCAAGCTTTCCGATGAGCGTGCTGTACATAAAGGTACTGGGGCTCAAGGCATATTTCTTTTTACCGAGACATATGGGTGGTAGATGTCTTGTGTATGATTTTGCATCGCATAGCATAGTATAGCATAGCATAATGATTTACGATATGTATTAAATCCGCTCGGCTTATAGCCTCGGCTTATAGCTAAGTTTACGATAATATTAGGCGAAATCTCTATAGTCTAAGATCGAGCTCTTTCTAATAAAAGGTCGTTTTTATCGTAGAGCCTAGCTAGTAGCTACTTCCCTAAGCCCTAGCTAGCTATTAATTCCTAAGTAATACTAAAGAAATAAGTCTATATACTACTATTAGAGGTTACACGTAATTAGTATATAACTAGACTAAGTAAAGCTAGGGTCCTAATACCTTAGGTAGGGCTTAGTGCTTAGCGTTAGGCTAACTAGCCTACCTTCCTCCCTCTCCTCTTAGATCTCTATCGAATGCTATACTAATGTACTACTACCCTATCTACCTACTAATATAACCCTTCTTATATAGTATTTAATCTACCCTTTAAGGATAGTAGCTAGATAGTCCTTATTTCAAGCTTTTAGCGGTATAGCCCCGAAAACCGTTAATCTAACTATATTACGCCCGAAGAACGGGACCTATACGTACTATTCTATTAAAACAACCGTACTAATTATTAAGCAAGGCCTTCTATATAGCCTATTATACCGAGTTAATCGTACTAGACCGATATCTACTAATTCCGCTATATCTGTACTATAAGAGGCTATAATACATTATTAGTATTACCCCTTATAATAGCCGGCTTATTACGAAGTAACAATAACCGCGGCGCCGCTAGTAGCACTAGCAATAACAATACTAGTAGTATAGAGCCTATTAATAAAGAGCCTATAATTCTAGGTAATAATCTAGAATTGCCTATTAACGACATTCTTAACAACATTATTAATCGACGATATAGCTAACTAGCCTTTAGGCCCTAACTAGTAGGGAGACTTTAAGAAGCTACTTAAAATAGGCTTACTGCCCTACGTTAAGAATAATAGCTAAAGGATAACCTCCTCGAGCTCTGTCGCCTTTAGGAAGCTCTAATAACTACTACTAAACTAATAGTAGGACCTTCCTTACTATTAGTATAGAAGAAGGATGCTAAGCTTAAGGACTATACTGTGTTTAATAGCTCTAGTCGAAAGCAATATAACGACTATATTCGTAACTATAAGCTTAATTAGCGAAACGTACTAAGGGCTCTACTAGACGACTATTCGTTAGTCGTCTATACTATATAGTATATTAATAGAGACCTAAAGCGTACCTAGGATAACTATTTCGACTCCCTTAATAACTAGACTGCTATTTAGTAGCATACCTATAAGACTATTATACTAGACACTCTTAGAAACCCTATACTAAGGCAATAACATGCTTAGGACTAGTACCTCCGAGCTAAACAAAAGACTAATTAATCGGCTCGCTTATTTAAAGCCTATTTAAAGACCCTCGAAGACGACCTTCCGGCTAAGACTAATTCTCTATAGATCTCCGAGATACGCCTAAAGCTTAGATAGGAGCTTATCCTCAAATTAGACCGCCGCTATATATTCGAACAGGCTAATCTAATACGCATTTAATTTATAGTCGAAGTAGAAATAGCTAAACGAGCTGTCTAGCTTTAGTAACGACTAGAATCTAAGATACGGCTAGCCGCTAACAACCGTAGCCGTAGTAGAAACTAAGGAAGTACTCCCTAAACGAATACTACTAATAATAGAAATAGCAACGACTACTAACGTAGAAGAGGCCGTAGCCGGCGACTATATAAAGGAGGCTGCGATAGAGGCCGTAGAAGGGGCTCGTATCCCTATAGTACTAATCGCTTAACTAATAATAGTAGCAATAGCAGCTATAGCAATTACCTAACCGGATTGAAGTGCTTTAACTGTAATAGCACTAGCTATTTACTAGGCTAATGCGATAAACCTAAGGACTAGGCCCGAATCGACCGTGCTACCGCTAAATACCGAAAGCACCTTTTAGCTACTAACGCTACCCCTATTAGTCCTTCTAATTAGTCGAAAAAAGATTAGGCGTCGCACTAACTGTTAGCCTCGTACGGCGTAAGACTATCGACATTATACTAGCTATTATACGTACCTGTCTTATATAGGATATATACAGAACTAACTATAAAACTAAGGTTACACTAGATCTAGGAAATTCAGTTAGCGCCCTTATTAGCTATCGCCTAGCTAAGTAATTAGACCTTCGACAATTAAATAGAGCTAACCTGCTAACCCTTGCTTAGTTTAATAACGCTCGGCACTTAACCTATAGGGCCTACTATGTTCCTATAGTTCTAAAGGACGACCTCGGAAATAAACGCCTACTAGACTTTACTACCTACGTTAGTTAGAAT